TTTATTATTTTATTTTTAATTAACATATAATATATTATTTGCCCCAGGGGTACAGGTCTGTGAATCGTCAGGCTTACACACTTCACAGCACTTACCATTTCACATACCCTCCACAATGTCCATAACCCAACCACCCTCTCCATACCTCCCCTCCCCTCTAGCAATCCTCAGTTTGTTTTGTGAGATTAAGAGTCTCTTATGGTTTGTCTCCCTCCCGATCCCATCTTGTTTCATTTTTTTCCTTCCCTACCCCACAGATCCCCCAGTCTGCCTCTCAAATTCCTCATATCAGGGAGATTTTATTTTATTTTTTAAAGATTTTATTTATCTACTTGACAGGTCACAAGCAGGCAGAGAGGCAGGCAGTGGGGGGGAAGCAGTGAGCCGAATGAGGGGTTCGATCCCAGTACCCTGAGATCATGACCCAAGCCAAAGGCAGAGGCTCAACCCACTGAGCCACCCAGGTGCCTCCTTTTTCTTATTTTAAAAATGTTTATTTTTAAATAATCTCTATACCCAATGTGGGGCTTGGCCTCAAACCCTGAGATCAAGAGTTGCATGCTCTCCTGACAGTCAGCCAGGTGCCCCTGGTTATTTTCTTTTTAGAGTACCAGTTCAAATTTTTTGTTGATTTCTATTTTTTATTAAGTTTTTCTCTCTTTTTAAAAGTTGTAGGGGTTCTTTATGTAGTCTAGATACAAGCTCTCTGTCACTTATATGCGTTGCAAATATCTTCTTCTTTCAAATATCTTTTCCATCCTATGGCTTACCTTTTCATTTTTTTCAGATTTTTTTGATGATAGAAGTTTTAACTGTAATTTAGTAAGTTTAACAAGCTCTTCCTTTATAGCTAGTCCTTTTGAATCCTATTAAAAAAAGTCTTTCCCCACTCTTTGATCATGAAGGTGTTCTTTTATATTCTAGAATTTTTTAAAAAGATTTTATTTGTTTATTTGACAGAGATTACAAGTAGTCAGGCAGACAGAGAGAAGCGGGGAAGCAGGCTTCCCGCTGAACAGAGAGCCCAATGCAGGGCTTGATCCCAGGACCCTCAGATCATGACCTGAGCCGAAGGCAGAGGCTTAAACTACTGAGCCACCCAGGCGCCCTTCTAGAAATTTTATTATTTTACTTTCACATTTAGATTTCTAGCCCACCTGGAACTGACTTTTCTGTAATACAAAGTAGGGGGCAATTTTGTTTTTATTTGATTCTTTATTAAATATGCCTGATCATTTTTAAAAGTCTTTCTGCTTGCTCATTTAAAAAAAATCAACATTTATTTCTTTAAACAAGTATAATTTTTTATGACCATATATACTATATTTTTAAATAGTATAATATAGAGGTTAAGAATTTGGCTTCAGTCTCTGCTCAGCGGGAAGCCTGCTTCTCTTCCTCTCTCTCTCTCTGCCTGCCTCTCTGCCTACTTGTGATCTCTGTCTGTCAAATAAATAAATAAAATCTTTAAAAAGAAAAAAAAAAGAGTTTGGCTTCAGTACTAGATTGCTTGTGTTAAAATCTCTTAAGTTATTAATTCAGCATTTATTTGCTGAGCATCTACTACGTGTCACTCCCTCTTCTAGGTACTAGGGATGTCCCACCAAATAAAACAGACCAAAGTCCCTGCCTTCATGTGGTGGTGGTCGGGACGTAGATAATAATAAAAAGAATATAAATTATATTATAGAGTTATGTGTGTGGATAAAGTCAGAGAAGGGAGTAGAATATGAAAGAGGATGAAGTTTAAAATAGGGTGGTCAGGGAAGCCTTCATGGAAGAGGCGATAGTTGGATAAAGACCTGAAGCAGCCGAGGGAGTAGATCTTGTGACCATAATGGGGAAGGGTTATTTCAGAAAGAGGTAATAGCCGGTGAAAGCTCCTGAGGCAGGTGTGTATTTGAGAGCAAGTAGTAACAGCGAGCCAGTATGGTTAGAACAGAAGTGAGAGGGTGAGTTATAGATAACGAAGTCAGAGAGGTAACAGGAGCCACTGAAGGATTTTGAGCACAGCACTGACATGATCTGACTACATTTAAGAACATTTTCTCTACCCCTTCCTGCCCGCTGTTGCCCAGCCTAACCACACCACTCTCCACACGGAGATTTAGTATAGTGCTTCCAGTGTCTTCTCCAAAGCGTACTTACCACCTGTGTCCTTTTCCATTAAGTCCTTAAGCCCTCCCGAGCTGCAGTTTCATCATCATAGGATTTTTGCGGCACTTGAATGAAGTAACATATGTAAAAGAAATGTTAAAGTTGTTTCCACTATTCTTTGACTGGAACACCAATGAAATCAGACTGTACTCTTCTCTCCATCTCTGCCTCTGCCCTCCTAGCCCCAAAGCTCTAGAATCCTAGGATTTACAGATGTTGAACCACCCTTGCAGTCAGGAATATAACCCATTTAGCCACAAACAGAAGAATGAAACTGGGCCATTTCCTTACAACATACACTATTGACTCAAAACGGTTGAAAGACCTAAATATGAGATAGGAATCCATCAAATTCTAGAGGAGAGCACAGGCAGCAAATTCTGGGACCTCAGCTGCAACTTTTTGCTAGACACGTTTGCAAAGGCAAAGGAAACAAAAGCAAAAATGAATGACTGGGATTTCATCAAGAAAAAAAGCTTTTGCACAGCAAAGGAAACAGTTGACAAAACCAAAAGATGACCAACAGAATGGGAGAAGGTATTTGCAAAAGACATATCAGAGAAACGGCTAGTATCCAAGATCTGTGGGAACTTATCAAACTCAACATTCAAACTCAACAATCCAATCAAGAAAAGGACAGAAGACATAAACAGACATTTCTGCAAAGAAGACATCCAAATGGCCAACAGACACATGAATAAAACCTCCACATCACTTGGTATCAGGGAAATGCAAATCAAAACCACAATGAGGTACCACCTCACACCAGTCAGAATGGCTAAAATTAGCAAGTCAGGAAATGACAGATATTGGTGAGATTGCGGGAAAAAGGGGAACACTATTACACTGTTGGTGGGAATGCAAGCTGGTGCAGCCACTCTGGAAAACAGTATGGAGATTCCCCAAAGAGTTGAAGATAGAACTATCCTATGACCTAGCAATTGCACTACTGGGTATTTACCCCAAAGATATAAATTTAGTGATCCAAAGGGGCACTTGCACCCCAATGTATATAACAGTATTGTCCACAATAACCAAACTCTGGAAAGAGCCCAGATGTCCATCAACAGATGAATGGATAAAGATATGCATACACACACACACACACACACACACACACACAATGGAACACTACTCAGCCATCAAAAAGAAATGAAATCTTAACATTTGCAATGATGTGGATGGAACTAGAGGGTATTATGCTGGGCAAAATAAGCCAAACAGAAAAAGACAATTATCATATGATTTCACTCATATGTGGAATTTAAGACACAAAAGGGGAGCACAGGGGAGGAGAGGATAAAATAAAACAAGAAATCAGAGAGGGAGACAAACCATAAGAGACTCTTAATCATAGGAAACAAACAGGGTTGTTGGCCGGCAGGGGTTGGGGGTTGGGTGACTGGGTGATGGACATTAAGGAGGGCACTGGGTATTATATATAAGACTGATGAATAACTGACCTCTACCTCTGAAATTAATAATACATTATATGTTAAATTTAAATTTTAAAAAATAAAAAACTTTTTTTTTTTTTTTTGGTAGTAGATTGCAGTGTGGGTGTGGGGATGGCAAGGGGAGAAATACAACAGTTGTGAGCCTGATGCAATACAAAATTTAATGCTGTTATTTGGTTGGAGGAGAGCAGACGTAGCAGAGATGGTGAGAAGTAATTGGGGTCTGTGCATTCTTTAAAGATAGAGCGAATAAGACTTGCTGATTGATGAGGTGTTGAGAGTGACAGAAAGAGGAATCAAGGATGGCTCCAGGGTTTTGGGGATGAACTCCATGGAAAAGAGAGAGTTCCTATCAAGTAAGATGGGGAAAACTAAAGGAAAATGTATGCAAGAGGGATGAGGAATTGAGTTTTTGATGTTAATTCCCAATGCCTGAAAGACATGTAAGTATATATCTGATGAGTGAGCTGTTAGAGTCTCCTCAAGTTTTAGGGGGAATATTTCGTTTTTTTCAGGTTCAGCTGAGTGGTGTGTGCCAGCAGCTTACCTTTTGGGTATTGTTACATCTTGTTTCTCCTGCATTACACTGGTCACTTAGGCACTGACCTGCTTCTCCAGAGGCAAAGTATGTATATTGATTGGGCCGTTACCCAAATAGTCACTTCTCCAGAGGATGGAAACCCTCTCTTTGTAATCACTGCCTCTAAGCTAGTAATATCCCAGAACCATTCCGGATTTGGGCAGATTTGGGGTTGTGGCTCTCCTTTAGTTTAATTCAGTATGTTTTCTTTCAAGGGTTCCTTAACACTTGTTTGTTCTTGGTGTTCTTGTTTTTCTAGTCTTTTTTGGCTTCAAAAATATCTTTTCTATATTTTCAAGGATGGAGAATAGAAATGGTGAGGTAGTATGTGTGCTTTGTCTGTAGCTTTGATCCAGTCTCCCTGTTTTTAATAAAAATAATGTCTAAGGAAAGGTGACAAAATACATAGTGATAAAAATAACACTCATATTTGCATAGTGACTATTTTGGTTTATTCCACTTTTTTCTAAAACGTTAAAATAAATTTATCATCTGTCTTACATAGCAAGTATTTTCTTGTGTAATTATAAGTGGTATAATTGGGATTTCACTTTTCAAGGAAATATTCTGGGGCCTGCTCTTTGGTATCTCTTCTCTGGTGTCTGTACATTCATAGTATGTGTATCTATTTAATCATTTAGACTGTTGCTTTGGCATGAGTAGAAGGCTGAGTAAGGACTTGTGGGCTCCCTGTTACACAGGGAAGGGGCAATCATCTCCCTGTGAGGATGAGAGCCAATGTTGTTATTTCTTTCTTTGAGTTATTTTATAGTCAATTAAATTTTTTTTTTCTCTTTCTGCTGTAGTTCACTTAGCAGCCATGGAAGGTCACCTTCACTGCTTTAAATTCCTACTCAGCAGAATGAACAGTAAAACTCAAGCTTTAAAAGCCTTCAATGATAATGGAGAAAATGTATTGGATCTGGCCCAGAGGTTCTTTAAGCAGAACATTTTGCAGTTTATCCAAGGAGCGGAGTATGAAGGAAGTGATCCAAAAGATCAGGAAAGTAAGTAATAAACCTGAAATGTTTTAGCATTTAATAAGTAGAGTAAGTCGAAATAAAAAAAAAGTTATAAGGCAAATGTTATGTTTAAATATGTTACTTATAATTGTCCACACATTCATTCAGTTTCTCTTCTTTATTATGAAATATTTTGGGCAGAAATATATAAAGATTAATGCAATGTAATGAATACATTTTTTTATGCCACTGATTTAAGAATAAAAAGCTATACATTTAAAAGCTTCTTGGTTCTCTTTGATATCATTCATTTCTTTTTCTTAGAGGTAACTACTGTTTTGGATTTCTAATTCCATTCTATAGGTTTTCTATTTAGTGAATATGTACTCACAAAAATCTGCACTATTATGTGTTTTTGGAGAAATAGACTAACATGTTCTAACTAAGAAATCCTAAAATTCAGCAGCCGAAGAATTCATATGATTGGCCCAGGTTGAAGAGTGAATCTGTGCTGTGCTGGCTTTCTTCCCATCTAGCTCTCTCTGCTTGTAGCAGATTTAGCAGGAGGTGGGGAAGGGAGCAAGACTATAAGATTCGGACCAGAGATTTTCAAGGTCTGATTTGTACTCATTACTTTTGCCAACATTCCACTGGTGAAAGTTGAGTCACGTGGGCATGCTAGCTGTGGGGAACCCTGGATGATTCAGTACCTAGCTGAGAAGACTCACCTCAGCTGAAGCTCTCGTACTACTGAAGGAAGAGCATTTTAGTAGACAACTAACAGTCCGTGGAACTTCTTTTAAAATCTTATGAAAATGGCATTTAAACAGTATGCATTCTTCTATTCCTTACTTTTTTCCAGAAAATACTATGTTTTTGATATTAGGCCAATGGAAGTATTCCATTTATCCTTTTTGTTTGTATAGTATTGGATTTTATGAAAACCATTATTTATCCATTTTCCAGTTTGTTATTTAGATTGTTTTTCACTATTACAGTCAGTGTGGTCATGGATATTCTTGTATGTGTCTTCTTAAGTACATATACAAGAGATTCTTTAGAGAAGTAGGTCACTACCTTTTTAACACATAGCCCCCACAGACAGTATTTGCGTGGCATACTGGGATTGTTGGTTGTGCCTTCTTGAGGGACTGCCTATCTTCTCTGAAGACTGAGAGTTAAGAGCGTGGCTTGGGTAAATAGGTGTGAATTCTGCTTTAGGGTTTGCTTGGTGGGATATGCCCATCTTCAGTATAAACAGGGATTGCTAGATTCTTCATCAGAGTAATTACAGAAGTTTACACTCTCATCAGCAATGTTGGTGGGAATTGAGAGGAATGATATTCAGTATTGTCAGACTTTACAATTTTTGCCAACTGGGCATGAAAAACCTTGATTTGTACTTTGATTTTCATTTTTCTTTTTATTATGAATGAGATTGAATATCCTTCTGTAAGTTAATGGCTATTGTAGTTTTCTCCTCTATAAATTGCTTATCTATACTTTTCTCCCCCCCTTTTTTTTTTTTAAAGATTTTGTTTGTTTATAGATGAGAGATAGAGAGACAGAGAGAAAGGCAGAGGCAGAGGCAGAAGCAGGTTCCCTGTGGAGCTGGGGGCCTGATAGTAGGACTCCATCCCAGGACCCTGGGATCACAATCTGAGCTGAAGGCAGAGGCTTAACTGACTGAGCTACCCAGGCACCCTACTTTTCTCCCTTTTTAAAAGTCCTATTCTTTGTCCTTTTCTAAATAATTTGATTTCTTTGTATAATCTCAATTCCAATTCATTAATTTTATCTGATACAGATATTTTCTCTCACACTGTGGCTTGTTTTTTACTCTAATTAAGATATCCTTTTTAAAAAAATCAATTTTATTTTTAAGGTTTTTTTTTTTAAGATTTATTTATTTTAGAGAGAGGGAGAGTGTGCACAAATGGTGGGAGGGGCAGATTCAGAGGGAGAGAATCCTTAAGCACACTCCCTGCTGAGCATGGAGCCTGATCTGGGGCTCCATCCCAGCTCAGAGTATGTCCTGAGCCAAGTTAAGAGTTGGACATTGAGACAACTGAGCTACCCAGGCACCCCTAGAATCAACTTTATTAATATTAAAGTATGATTTTGTATAATAAATTGTGTTCATTAGTTTATTTAGTGCAGTTTGATGAGTTTTGAAGTATGTTTACCCTCATGAAACCATCACAATCTAGTTATAAAACATTTCCATCACCTCTGGAGTGAACCTCTCTCAGTTCACCCTTACTTTCACCCTGGCCCCACACAACCACTTACTTGCTTTCTGTCCCTATAGATCAGTTTGAATTTTCTAATGGAACTATTTTGAGATTCATCCCTGTTATGTACATTAATAATAGTTCATTCCTTTTAATTGTCGAGTAACACTCCATTATATGGTTGTACTGTATATTTCTTTTTAACAGTGCACCTGCTGATGAACATTTGGATTATTTCCAATTTTGGACTATTATTAATAAAGCTGCTCTGAACATTTACATAGATATATGTTTGCAGTTCTCTTGGTAAATATGGAAGAGTGGGATGTATGGTGGGTTTATGTTTAACTTTAAGAGGTTGTGTAACAGGGGCACCTGAGTGGCTCAGTTAGCTAAGTATCTGACTCATGACCCCACATCAGGTCTTGATCTTAGGGTCATGAGTTCAGGTCCCATAGTAGGTTCCATGCTGGGTGTGAAGCCTACTTAACAACAACAACAAAAAAGTTATTATTAACTATTTACTAAAGTAGTTGTATTGCTTTATATCCCCACCAGATATGTATGAGAATTCCATTTGCTCCATGGAATTGCTAGCACTTGATATGGTCAGTCTATTTTATTAGCTGTTCTAATAGACGTGTAGTGTCACCCTACCATGGTTTTAATATACATTTTCCTGAAAACTAATAATATTGAGCATCTTTTCAAATGGGCATTCGTATATCTTTCTTTCTTTTTTTTTTTTTTTTAGGATTTTATTTATTTATTTGACAGAGAGCACAAGTAGGCAGAGAGGCAAGGCGGGGTGTGGGGAAGCAGGCTCCCCGCCGAGTAGAGAGCCCCATGTGGGGCTCCATCCCAGGACCCCGGGACCATGACCCGAGCCGAAGGCAGAGGTCATAACACACTGAGCCACCCAGGCACCCCGCATTCGTATATCTTTTATCAAATATCTGTTTAATTCTTTTGCCCATTTTTTTTTTTTTTTAAAGATTTTATTTATTTATTTGACAGAGAGAGATCACAAGTAGACAGAGAGGCAGGCAGAGAGAGAGGAGGAAGCAGGCTCCCTGCTGAGCAGAGAGCCCGATGCGGGACTCGATCCCAGGACCCTGAGATCATGACCTGAGCCGAAGGCAGCAGCTTAACCCACTGAGCCACCCAGGCGCCCTCTTTTGCCCATTTTTTAATTGGGTTGTTTGTCTACTAATTACTGACTTTTGACAGTTCTTTAGAGTTTTTCTCAGGTATATGTTATGGCCTATATTTTCTCCCATTCTGAAACTTGCCTGGTTTCATGGCAATATGTAACATATATTTTAAATTTTTATTTTAGAGAGAGAGAGTGCATGTGATTAACAGGGGAGGGGCAGGGAGAGAGAATCTTAGGCTCCATGCTCAGTATGGAGCCTGACACATGGCTTGATCTCGTGACCCAAAGATGGTAACCTGAGCTGAAATCAAGAGTTGGATGCTTAACTGACTGAGCCCCCAGGCGCCCCGTGGAGTGTCTTTCAAAGAACGAAAGTTTTAAATTTTGATAAAGTACAATTTATCAGTCTTTTCTCCATGTCTTCTGTTGTGTGTCCTATCTGTGAAATATTTGTTCACCTCAAAGTTAGCAAGATATCCTTCAATAGTTTTCTTCCTTTGTTTTTTTTTTTTAAAGATTTTATTTATTCATTGACAGACAGAGATCACAAATAGGCAGAGAAGCAGGCAGAGAGAGGGGGGAAGCAGGCTCCCTGCTGAGCAGAGAGCCCAATACAGGGCTTGATCCCAGGACTCTGGGATCATGACCTGAGCCAAAGGCATAGGCTTTAACCCACTGAGCCACCTAGGCGCCCCTCTTCAATAGTTTTCTAAAACTTTGTCAGTTTTAGCTTTTTAATTCAGATCTTCGATCTATGTCAGGTTAAATTTTATGTGCAATTTTGAGTGAAATTAAGTGTTCATTTAAAATTTTGTTTACCCCCCACGCACATATAGCTACTTGCCCTAGCACCATTTTTTTGGAAAGGCTTTCCTTTCCCCATTGAAATATTTTGTCAGCTTTGTAAAAAGTCACTTGCCTGTATATGTATGGGTGTGTTTCTGGCCTCTGTATTCTGTCTTATATATCTGTTTATTTGCCAATACCACAACTGTCTTGATTAATCATGATAGCTTTATGGTAAGCTATCATATCAAAGCTATTATGATATCTTTATGGTAAGACTTAGAATCAGGTAGTGTAAGTCTCCAACCTTGTTCTTTTAAAAATACTCTTAGGAGGGGCACCTCAGTGGTGCAGTTGGTTAAGCATCCAACTATTGGCTTCAGCTCAGATCACGATTTTGGGGTTGTGAGATTGAGCCCTGTGTTGGGCTTTGTGTTCAGCACAAAGTCTGCTTGGGACTCTTTCCCTCTCCCTCAGCCTCTCCCTACTGTATTCTCTCTTTCTCTCTCTAAAATAAATAAATCATTAAAAATACTCTGGCTGTCCTGTTTCCTTTCTGTATTTAAAAATGAGAATAACAATATCTCATTTAATAATTAAGTTGTTAAAAGGGTTATAATGAGGCATTACTTACCAGTGCTTACTACCATGTCTGGCATTCAGTAAGGGCTCAGTATTTGTAGTTGCTATATTAAAAACATTTTATCAAGTACTTACAGTTAGGTACTAGGTCAGGTACACTTACATAGCCGTGTGTGTATATGTATATGTGTTTGTATATATATGTATATTTCATCTGCTTCCAGTTTTTATACAAAGGGTTGAAAGGGTTGAAAATGACCATCTTCTTATGTTTTGTGTTGGTCTGACGTTGGAGTATGGCTAAGAATAGTTCTGGTATAGTACTACTCTTGGCATGTTTGAAGTCCTGTGGGGAGAACGGGCTACACAGTTAATAATAATCTTATTTTATGATTCTCTTTTTATTACTTGTCATTGTGTCAACTGAACTAATTCTAGTATAACATTCTTAATTGAGTTAATATTGAAATTTGAATTTTGTGACTGCTTAAGGCAGGGGAAAGAATGAACTGATATGTTTACTGAAATGCTGAATTTTTATTCATAGCCTTAGCATTTCCAGGTCATGTGGCTGCCTTTAAAGGTGATTTGGAAATGCTCAAGAAATTAATTGAAGATGGAGTAATTAATATTAATGAACGTGATAATAATGGATCAACTCCTATGCATAAAGGTGAGTTATGATTCCTGCTTCATTTTCAGTTCTGACACAATTACTGTTGAAGTTTTTTACCTTTTAAAATAATTATCCCTTAGAAACATGTGAAAATGTAGAACTTACCCTAATACCCTACAGGATATCAGTCTCCCTTATATGGTACACAGTTTATTTGTGATACTCCTCTTATGATGCCAGAAATTAACTATCATATTTAGGGTAATTCCAGTGAAAATTCTCTTAAGACATTGATGTGTTAAGATATGAAATTCACAGCTGGAGAAGTTTCTTAGGACTAATACTTTCTTTGGACTAAAATGATCTATTAATTCTTGCTAAAGCATGAAAAAGGTATAATAGAATTTGAAAAAAAGGTATAGCAGAATTTTCTTCTTTCTTGTACTCTGTAAAAATGTTTTTACTTTTATAGAAATATCAATAAACATTAGATTTGAACACAGTTTCCAGATGTCCACTACTTTGATCTGTATTCCCTACTTCCTTCTGTGTGGAATTCTAAAATATTAATTAGCTTTTTGGTTTTTTAATCAGACTTTGTCAAATGTCAACACCTTGTTGAGAGTATGGGTACTCTAGGATTTACTTTTGCCAGTCTTCCTTTAATTTATAAAATCAAAAACCAAATCTTTAACTTAATGCATCTGAAATTTCCATTCTGCTTCATTTGTGATATTGTCAGTTATTTCATAATGTAATGGCAGGTATTTTAAGATTTTATTTATTTACTTGACAGAGATTACAAGTAGGCAGAGAGGCTGGCAGAGAGAGGGGGAAGCAGGCTCCCTGCTGAGCAGAGAGCTTGATCCTGGCTCTATCCCAGGGTCCTAGGATCATGACCTGAGTCGAAGGCAGAGGCTTAACCCACTGAACCACCCAGGTGCCCAATGGCCAGTAATTCTTATAAAATTTTAAAGGAGGCACCTGGCTAGCTCAGTCAGTAGAGCATGTGACTCTTGAAGTTGGGGTCATGAGTTCTAGCCCTATGTTGGGCATAGAGATTACTTAACTCTTAAAAAAAAGGGGGTGGGGGTAGAGTAAAAAGACAGTAGGGTAGCTAATGCAGTCATGTGTTTGAATTATATTTTATTTTGTAAATAACTTCTGATAGTCCCAATCATAGATTATGTTCTTGTTGGTTAGCTTCTTTTTTTTTTTTTAAAGATTTTATTTAGTTATTTATTTGACAGACAGAGATCACAAGTAGGCAGAGAGGCAGGCAGAGAGAGAGAGAGGAGGAAGCAGGCTCCCCGCTGAGCAGAGAGCGCGATGCGGGGCTCGATCCCAGGACCCTGGGATCATGACCTGAGCCGAAGGCAGAGGCTTTAACCCACTGAGCCACCCAGGCGCCCGTTGGTTAGCTTCTTATTTTAATTGTTAAATTTGGTTTACTTCATAATGAATCTCCAATATAGAATTTAAACATCATGTGTACCAATAGTTTTATAAGAGAGGTTAGGTGGAGTAAGAAGAAGGGGAATGCAAAGGGGGTTTCTTCTACACACAGAGAGGTTCCTATTTTGGTAAACACTTTATTCCAGACTTGGAAAATCTCACTCCTCCATCTTAGCTTGGCTCTCTAGGAGTTTAGCTCTTCACCATGGGATTTGTGGATGGGGAGGAAACTTAAAGTGTGCACTATATGTATGTATACATATTTTAAAATGTGGTACCCTGGAGCAAAGCCTTCATTTATTATCTTAGATAACACCACTTTTTTTTTTTTTAAAGATTTTATTTATTTATTTGACAGATCACAAGTAGGTAGAGAGGCGGGCAGAGAGAGAGAGAGGGAGAAGCAGGCTCCCTGCTGAGCAGAGAGCCCGATGTGGGGCTTGATCCCAGGATCCTGGGATCATGACCTGAGCTGAAGGCAGAGGCTTTACTCAACTGAGCCACCCAGGCAACCCTAAATATAACCACATTTTATTACTAATGTATATGTGGGGTATCATTCAGACACTGTAGCAAAAGATAGGTGTGATCGTGATGCTTATATTTCATCTTCACAGGAAGAATTAAGTTTTACTGATGGCTGTTTTTCAGCCTTTCTCAGTCGTTTCTTCACCACTGGAACTAAGATTGAAATGAGGGACCTGGAATTAGATTCTCAAGGGCTTGATGCATAACAGTAGGGTGTTTGTGATGCAGCCATTGTGAGAAGATGGGAGTGTGAAATTGAGGAACCCAAAGTGTTTGCCTTTCACCCCTTGTCTTGTCAGTCTGTCCATTGAGGACTCCTAGGGCCAGGGGTGGAACAGGGAGTGTGATGGGGGATGATAAGTGGCTACAAGTAGGGGAAGGGGCCTTTTGTGTACACTTGGCTTTCCTGGTGAACATCTGTGTGTTTAGATTATATCCAAATTGTGTAAATTAAAGTTGTCTCTTTATAACTTAATGCACATTTTCTACATTTATTAATCTCTCTGCTTCTTTTTCTTTAATTTTGATTTTGATTCAGTAAATAAGTTGCGGGTTTAAAGATTCTTTTTTTTTTTTTTTTTTTTTGATAGAGATCACAAGTGGGCAGAGAGGCAGGCAGAGAGAGAGAGGGGGAAGCAGGCTCCCTGCTAAGCAGAGAGCCTGATGACGACGACGAGGGGCTCAATCCCAGGGCCCTGAGATCATGACCTGTGCTGAAGGCAGAAGCTTAACTCACTGAGCCACTCAGGCGCCAAGTTGCAGTGTTTATTATTGAGGCATTTTTCTTGGTCATTTAATAATTGTTAAATCCACCGTGACTGCTCCTTTTTTTCATTTGCTAAGCCATAAGTATTTCAAATGAGTTCTTAAAAATTTCTAGCCACAGCATAATTTTATCTTTCTCTTATAATACATTGATCAAATTAATCAACATATCCTAACCAATGTACAATAAGGATCTTGGGTAAAAATCCTTTTATTTCATTTTAGAGAAGTTACTTAGCTTCCCCTCTCCCTCTTTGTAAACATTACCTGTGTAATAAAATTTAAATGTGGGGTTAAGCTCATTCTATCTTTGACAAAACAATTATCTGTGATTCATAAATACCTTTTGTAACTTTTAAAGATGGAATATATTGCTGTTTTTGTCTAAAGTGAGGTTATTTCTAGAGGTCTGGGAAATCTTGTACTGTTTTGAGTGGTTTTGGATTTTCTGTAGGAGAGAGCAAGAAAGCCCAGAATTTTCAGGGGCCAATTCCGAGTTTGGGAGCTGGCTCTGAATGAACTAGAGGAGGACAGAAGAGTTCTTACTTTGTTACAGTATCTGACTTTGTGTCCTCTTTTCTCTGTTGCCAGTATTGAAGGTGAATTCCCTTTTTGAGGCACTAGAGGTATATCAAAAGTTCCTAGTCTTTGATTCATTTTACAGAGGCACTTACAGTCAGCACCCACCACCGTATGTCTGCACCACGTAGACAGTGTGAGGTCCAGACTTTACTGCTAAGGAGTACATACTTCCAACCATGAACATCTAGAGATTTGTAGAAGTCAGGAGTAATTGATGCCAAAAAGTATTTGTTTCTTAAAATACATGCAGTAGGAATTCAGGAGTAGAAACTGAGGAATAGAAGAAGTTGGTAAGGGTTAAATTATTAGAGACTTGTTCGTGGGAATTCAGAAATAATACCTTATGTTTATATGCTACTTAATGGGATGTAAAACTGTCATCACATTTAATCCTTATTTTAATTTTATGAACCCTCTTTATAAGTATGAAATCATCTCTGTAAAAGATGAGGAAATTGGGGTCCAGAGGAATCGGTTTTCTTGACTGAGGTTACACATCTGGTAAGAGCAAAGCTGACATTTTCTTAGTATTCTCATTCACTTATTCATGCCTCAACTTCATAGACATTTATTGAGGGTCTGTATGTGCCAACCACTTGCTAAGTTCTGTTCTGCCCTCCAGTCTCACTGTTTAGTAGACCTAAGGTCAGATCTTTTAAGTCTATTAAGTATCTTTCCACCCAGCTTCCCTGAATCTTCAGATGGATCTAGAAGGATGGGTAGAAGTTAGATGAACATACATTTGAGGGCTGGGCACTAGGGAGGTGGACACATAAACAGAGTTGTGGAGGTGAAAATTAATCCCGAGTGCATGTATTAAGGACAAGATTTAGAAAAAGGTGGTAAACAGTTCAGGTGATTAGTGAGAGGCCTGTAAATGTTGAGTCATGAGAGTCAGAAGAATAACCTGTTTACATAAGATGACCAAGATTTTCGAAGTCCATGTAGTCAGCCCTGTGGCTGGACTGTGCTCATATTTTGGTCAGATGCAAGATTCGTCAGGAGCTATAGATAGCAGCAGGTGAACTCTGGATAAAGACTGGGAAAACCTAGATTATAGTTTCAAATCCATTACTTGCATGCTGCGTGGTGTTAAATAAGTAACATCTTTGACCTTCAACTTTTATATCTTCAAATTTTTATATAAATTTTATATCAGGATGCAAAGTCCTCTGTATTGGAGGTAAGCCCAGTAGATTTTTGATTAATTGTTTGCCTAATGAATACATAAATGAACAGAGAATAACATCTGCCCCACTTTTGTTGGTTATTACAAGGATCAGTATTTATGAAAATATTCTCTAATGGTACTGTCCGAGATATCAGACAACTGTTACTAATAACAATAACTTTTTGTGTGTATTTTTGTTTTTGTCTTTTTTTTTTTTTTAAACAGCCGCTGGGCAAGGCCACATAGAGTGTTTGCAGTGGATAATTAAAATGGGAGCAGACAGTAATATTACCAACAAAGCAGGGGAGAAACCCAGTGATGTGGCTAAAAGGTATCCCTGTCTGCTTTACTTCTTTCTTTTGTTTTTAAGGTTTTGGATATACTCTCTTATACTCAGAAAGCTCTTAGGATTTAATGGAATTCTAGGACTCCATCAAATGCTGACAGAGTAACAATTTTCCAGCTGAATTGACATTTGATGATAAATCAGCTCTTCTCACTAATGATTTTCAGCTGGAAAGTAGTATTGTCCCCCTTCCTGGTGGGGGGCGGGATTTGGAAATGCATGGAGGAGTGTCACATGACTGGAGACTATCACTGATATATAGTGAAGTCGGGTCCAGGAATGCTAAACATTTGACGGTGCTTAGAACTGTGATACAGAATGAAGAATGGGGTCACCCAAATGCCTCTAGTTCTTTAGAAATACTGTGTGATTAAGAGGAGTAATCAATGGGGTTATGGACACTGGGGAGGGTATGTGCTATGGTGAGTGCTGTGAAGTATGTAAACCTGGTGATTCACAGACCCCTGGGGATAAAAATATATGTTTAAAAAAAATAATTAAAAAAGAAAGAGTAATCAAAAGGAGCCACTTAGGTTTTGAAACAAATTTTAATAATTTACATTTGAATTAAATATAACACCTGCTATTAAGCATCTCCTGCTCATCTCCTATGCAGGTCCTCAAGGAAAATTTAGTCCATCCATTTGTTCATTCGGTTATTTTTCATTCAACTTCCTATGTACTTAGCATGTCCCTATTGCTATGGTTAGTGTTAGGATTACAAAGATTAAAAAACACAGTCCTTGTCCTCAAGTCTAAAATCTTGTAAAGAGACTCAGTACATAAGCATAATTATTATTAATTATAATCATTGTAACATATTACATGTTATGTATAAGATACAATAAGAACATAGGAGAAAAAGTGCACAGGTCTTCCTGTTTGAAAGTTTTGGGGAAGTTAGGAAGGAACAGAAGGGGAACAGAATTTATATAGAGGTCAGGGAAAATTTTTATTTTTGGAGGAAGCAACATTTATTCTGATGCTTAAAGGAGGAAGTGTTGTAAGATAGTACCTTATGTGTTTGAAGAATTGCTTGTGGTCCAGAACTACTTGAATCTAAAGTAGGAATGTGGGCTAAAATTTGCAAATGAGGCCCAACAGGATGCTAATCATTCAATGTTAATCATGCATCGATTGCTGTGCAATTTTTAAGAGTTCATTGTCCTTACTATTTTGAGGGATTTCTTTGAAGCCTTGGAGCATGATTTTGTGGTACCACATACCTAGGATCATTACCTACTTAGGCCCACTTTAGTTTTACTTTGGAAAACAGCTTTTTTAAAGTTTAATTGGTATATGACAAAGTACACATCTTTGTACAGTACAAACTGATGAATTCTGACGTATGTCCTTACCCATGAAACCATTACTGCCATCAAGATAGGGAACATATCCATCATCCTCAAAAGTCTCCTTGTGCCCCCTTTGTAATCTGTCTCCTTCCCAGGGCTCCCCACTTTCCCTTCCCCAAGCAAATGCTGATCTGCTGTCTGTCACTATAGATTAGTTTGTATTTCCTAGAATTTTATATAAATGGAATCATATAGTACATACGCTTATATATCTACCTTCTTTTGCTCAGGTTAATTATATATAAGTTTCTTTCATGTGTATTCATAGCTCATTTCTTTCTTATAGCTGAGCCGTATTCCCTTGGCTATAGAATTCCATAGTATTCCATAGTTTGATAATGTGGTAACCTGTCAAAGGACATCTTGATTATATCCATTTTTTGGTAATTATGCATAAAGCTGCTCTATCCATTTTTGGTAATTATGCATAAAGCTGCCCTAAACATTCATGTACAATATTTTTTTGTGTGAACATCAGTTTTCACTTCACTTGGGTAAATAATTAGGAGTAGGATTGCTGGGTCATATGATAAGAATATGTTCGCTTTATAAGAAATTGCCATCGTGCCTTTGAAAGTAACCATGCCTGGTAGTAGATTTACTGGATTCTACTTTTAGTTACTATATTTCTGTTTTTAATGTTTTGGGAAACCTCTGTACTGTTCCCTACCGTAGCTGTACCAGTTTATATTTGCACCAACAGTGCACAAGAATTCCCTTTTCCCCACATCCTTGTCAGCACTTGTTATTCTTATCTCTTAGATACTAGCCATTTTGACTCATATGAGGTAATATCTCATTGTGGTTTTGATTTGTATTTCCCTGATGATTATTGAGGTTGAACATCTTTTCCTTTATCTGTCGTCCAACTATTTGTCTTCTTTCAAGAATGTCTATTCAGATCCTCTGCCCATTTTTAATCAGAAATTTGATTTTTAATCAAAATTTTACAAGTTCTTTTTATATTTTAGATACTAACTCCTTATCAGATGCTATCATTGCAGGTATTTTCTGTTCACTAGGTTTCACCTGGTGAAAGGTAAGGATATTTGTGTGCATGTAGTTGTATAGGTATGTGAAAAAAGTGGGATTTGAGATTTTGTGTTTGAGTAGTTCTCCATGTCATAAGAGAAAACATTAAACATTTCAGTTAGCAAGACTCTGAGAAAACCATGCAGATTATATGCAATCACATCAGCTCCAAAAGCAAGGCTATATTACTGGAAGCTTCACTGAGATATGGGAAAGATCAAAGAAAATAGAAAATGTAGATGGAAAAGTCATGATTTTTTCATTAAATTTCAAGGCCATGCCACATTTGGGGTTGAGGAAGGATGAAAATTAAGGGGCCTAGAGCTATATTTGGCCCTAAAACTGGAACCAGAACTATTTCTGAAATCTCACTTTGGCCATCAAAAAAGGTGGTAAATATAGGTAACAAGTAGGGTGGTTCTGGGCTTTCTATTCAGTTGAGCAGCTCTGTCTGGGGGCACCCCACATATTCTTTTGATATTGAGTCTCCTCTCCCAGTTGGATTTTTACCAATAAAAATTATGGAACAGCCTTTAACATGACTGTTTGTCCTCAGTGTCCAGTAACTCTTTGAGCTGGATGTATGTTGAATTGTCACTGACTTTTAGGTGCAGTTTTGCTCCTTTACTTGGGGCAATGGTAGCATAATGTACAGCGTGTAATTCGTTAAATTAAGTGGAAACTGCAGTTTCAATTTGAAGAGGATTGTGAATCTTGTTAATTACTGATTCTTTTCTACAGGTTTGCCCATTTAGCAGCCGTAAAGCTGCTAGAAGGACTACAGAAATATGACATAGATGATGAGAATGAAATTGATGAAAATGATATAAAGTTTTTTTTAAGACATGGTGTTGAGGGAAGCACTGATGCCAAGGATGATTTATGTCTCAGTGAGTCGGATAAGACAGATGCCAGAAGTAAGTGTGGTAACTCTGTTGTGATTTATTGTTTAAGAAATACAATAGCCAGTTTTTACCACAAATCTGGAAATTATTCTAAAGATACTTACCATCTGCAACGTAAAATACATTGATATTTTTGGGGGAAAACAAACTAGTACAAATACTTGTACTAGGGGTTTTTGAACACAGAATGTAAGACATGATCTCTGTCCCTCAAGGAGGAAAAAGTTATGTAGGAGGAAAAATTACTTAAGTGGATCATAAGAAACAGGGAAATAGACACCTCAAGGATTTCCATGGTAAGTTGGCAAATGATTTTTACAGATGATCATAGGAAATATCTATTGAATGTCTACTGTGTGCCAGACAGTGATGTACGTATAATCTTGGGGTTGTGGGATCAAGCCCCACCTTGGCTTTGTGCTTAGCAGTGAGTGTGCTTGGGATTCTGTCTCTCCCTTGCCCTCTGCCCTCCCTGCCCCAGGCACGTGCACTTACACAATGTCTCTGTTTCTCAAAAAACAAAAAACAAACAAACAAAAAACCCTTAAAAAAAAAGATAGAACTGATAGGACTGATAGGATTTGCTCATAGATTTGGATCTGAGGTGTTACAGAATGAGAATAATCCAGGTTGACTCTTACTTAGATTCTTGGCCTGGGCTACTAGGTGGTGGTTTAAAAACACTGTTCACAATAGGGTAGAGTAGCAGGGGAGGCTTTTCACAAGTGGAATTTGGACTTATCCTTGAAGGGTGGCCAGAATTAATTAATTGTTTAATTTATTAGAAAGCACATGAATGTGATAGAGTATAAGCAGAGGGGAGGGGCAGAGAGAGAGGAAGCAGACTCCTCACTGAATAGGGAGCCCAGGGAAAGGCTTAATTCTCGGGCACCGAGATTATGACCCAAGGCAGACACTTAACGGACTGAGCTACCCAGGTACCACGAAGGATGTCCAGAATTTAGATAGGCAAAAACAAACAAACAAAAAACCCACAAAAAAACAAAGAAGCATTCCATTTACCCAGCTTATATTCCAATATATACTGTGCGCACAGGTCTAGACTAAGGGACTGGTGCAGTGCATCAGAAAAAGTCCTGCTTTCTGGAATTCAGAAAACATTCTGAGCTTGCTCAATATAGTATTAAAATAAGTGACTGAAATCGTGCTGTATTAATTCTTTTTCTCTTTCCTGTTATTCAACATAGGTTTATTGAATACCTGTTACACATTAGGCACTGTTCTAGGTGTTAGTTTTACATTGGTGAACAGAAAGATAATTTTTCCATATTTACATAATTCTTTTTTTCTTTAAGATTTTATTTTTTTTTAAGTAATCTCTACAGCCAATGTGAGGCTCAAACCCACAACCCCCAAGATCAAGAGGCACATACTTTACGGACTGAGCCAGCCAGTGCTTCCGTATTTGCTAAGTTTGTAAACTGACCTGGTTCTTTTTCTACTTTTTCAAGCTCTAAAAGTCTTGATATCCTCTCTTTGATTCCCACAATTAGTAACATATTTGTTGGTGGGATTTCCTAAAATAGTCTTGTAGTTTCATTATGAAATAAGAACTTATAACTAAGTAAAAAATACTTTTTATTTTTTCTTTCATATGAATTTCATTATGGAGACATATATACCAAAGTTTTAATTTTCATAATTAGCAATGAAGGGCAGTCGTACATCATTAAATGATGTCCTGTTGTGCTTGGGTTGCCGTAACAATATACCATTGATTGAGTGGCTTAAACTGTAGACATTTATTTTCTTACAGTTTTGGAGACTGGAGGTCCCAGGTCAGAGTCTGGCAGAGTCTGTTTCTGGTGAGGTCTCTCTTTCTGGCTTGGAGATAGCCACCTTCTTTCTGTGTCCTTGCATGGGAGAGACTAAGCAAACTTTGGTGTGTCTTCTTATAGGGATACTAATCCCATTGGACCAGGGCCCCACCTTCATGACCTCATCTAATTAATTACCTTTCAAAGGCCCCATCTCCAAATACTATCCCATTAAAAATTAGAACTTCAGGATATGAACTTAGAGGAGACATAAACATTGAGTCCATAATGAAGGGTTAAACATTGAAGTACTCCAAATTAGTACAAGTGGGTGTGTTTCTGTCTTTTAAGGGGACATGTTATTGTCCCCTTGATGCAAATGAATATTCAAGAATGAACAGGACTGTGGCTTATTTTATGTTACATTATTGAACATACTGGATCTCATTTGATGTCTAGTAATTGGAGCAAATTTTAATTCCTCTAACATTTCTACTGGTGGTAAGGCATAGAACTCTTGTGTCAGAACTTATATTTTCCAAAATCCTAATGGTCATTATTTACATTTCCCTAGTGTTTTACACTCATAGAATCCTTCTACATACATCATTCACAGTAAGCCTGTGAAATAGGTAATATCTTTGTTTTCTGTTTCAAGAAAATCTCATTTAGTACAATATTCATATTTGATAAAGAGTCTGATGTTTATTTATTTAAGTAATCTCTACACTCATGACCCTGAGGTCAAGAGTCCAAACCTGAAGTTCTCCATATTTAGGAGTCTGTTTCTTTGTTTTTTTTTGCAGTTTGTCTGGGACAACATCATATACTTGGAGGGTATTATGCCAAGTGAAATAAGCCAGACAGAGAAAGACAAATACCATATGATTTTATTTGTATATGGAATATAAAAAAAAAAGTACAACAGATGAACAAAGAAATAAAGTTTGTGAGAGCTCCCAGAACATTGTCAGGCAGATCGCTAGTCTCCAGGGTTTGGTGAAAGCCTCTTCCCTAGCTAATGCAACCAAGGGAACACCTAAAGATGATGTCAGGGGCTCCTAACAAACAGCCCACCGAGCTCACCCTGTAGTGAGGCTCAGAGTTAATGATCCCTTCAGTATTTCCAGATAGCTTTATTTTAAAGAGCTTTGTTTACTCATTTTTAGAATGGCATGTTGGGGCAGAAGGAGAGCGAGAGAGAGAATCTTAAGGAGGCTCCCAGCCCAGTGCAGGGCCTGATGTAGGGCTTGATCTCACAACCCTGAGATTGTGGCCTGAACCAAAATCAAGAGTTGGATGCTTAACTGACTGAGCCACCCAGGCATCATTAAGTAGCTTTATTAAGATATGATTCACATACCATTCGATTTACCCATAAAAGTTGACACAGTTTAATGTTTCTTAGTATAGTCACAGATTTGTGCAACCATCAGTATAATACATTTTTAAACATTTCCATCACCCCTAGAAGAAACCCCACGTTCATTAGTAACCATTCCCCATTACCCGTACTTTCTTTTAACTTCCTCCCAAACCCCATCACTAGGCAACTACTAATCCATTTTCTTTTTGTATAGATTTACTAATTCTGGGCATTTCCTATGAATGGAATGGTACCATATGTGGTGTTTTGTAACAGGCTTTCACTTAAAACAATGTTTTCAAGGTTTATATACCTTGTAATGTGGATCATTCCTTTTTAATGCCAAATAGTATTCTTGTATGGATATACCAATTTTATCATCAGTTCATCAGTTGATAGACATTTGAGTTGTATTCACAATTCGACTATTATGAATAATGTGAACATTCATATACATCTTTTTGTGTAAACATGTATTTTTCATTTCTCTTGGGTACATACCTTGGTGTTAGTTGGAACTGCTGAGTCATTTGGTAACTCTAGGTTTAACATTCTGAGGAACTTCCAAACTGTTTTCCAAAGTCGTTGCATCACTTCACATTCCCACCAATGATGCATGGGGGTTTCAGTTTTTCCGCATCCTTGCCAATATTTGTTATTGTTTGTCTAATTGATTGAAGCTCTTCTAGTGAGTGTTAAGTGTTATTTCATTGTAGATTCTGTTTTTACTTTTTGTAACTGAAGTATAATTAACATACAGTTTTATTAGTTTCAGGGGTACAACATATTGACTCAACAATTCTATGCCTTACTCAGTGCTTACTTACCATGACAAACATAGTCACCACCTGCCTCCATCAAATATTGTTACAACATTATTGTTTATATTCTCTATGCTGTACTTTTCATCTCTGTGACTTACTTATTTTATAGCTGGATATTTGTGCCTCTTAATCCCTTTTATTTATTTCACCCATCCACCCACCTGGGAACCATCAGTTTGTTCTCTGTATTTAAGAAATTGTTTTTGTTTGTGTGTCCATTTGTTTTGGTTTTTGGAAGTCAAAAATAAGAGAAATCACATGGCATTTGCCTTTTTCTGACTTATTTCATTTAGCATAATACCCTCTAGGTCCATCCACATTGTCACAAATGGCAAGACCTTATTCCTTTTTATGGTTGAGTAATATTGCATTGTATCTGTATACCTTCTCTATTCATTCATCAGTGGACACTTGGGTTGCTCCCATATCTTGGCTATTGTAAATAAGGCTGCAGTAAACAGAGGGGTGCAGATATCTTTTCGATAGCGTTTTCTTTACTTTCTTTCTTTTCTTTTTTTTTTTTTTTTGAGTAAATGCCCGGTAGTAGATTTACTGGATTCTACTTTTAGTTACTATATTTCTGTTTTTAATGTTTTGGGAAACCTCTGTACTGTTCCCTACAGTAGCGGTACCAGTTTATATTTGCACCAACAGTGCACAAGAATTCCCTTTTCCCCACATCCTTGTCAGCACTTGTTATTCTTATCTCTTAGATACTAGCCATTTTGACTCATATGAGGTAGTATCTCATTGTGGTTTTGATTTGCATTTCCCTGATGATTATTGAGGTTGAGCATCTTTTCCTTTTTCTGTCGTCCAACTATTTGTCTTCTTTCAAGAATGTCTATTCAGATCCTCTGCCCATTTTTAATCAGAAATTTGATTTTTAATCAGAATTTTACAAGTTCTTTTTATATTTTAGATACTAACTCCTTATCAGATGCTATCATTGCAAGTATTTTCTGTTCACTAGGTTGTTTTGTTTTATTGATGGTTTACTTCACTGTGCAGAGGTTTTTATTTTGATGTAGTTATAATAGTTTA